TTGCCTCACCCTTCCCTGCTCAGCGGCCGAAAGATGAGATGGAGGTGATAGGACCTGCGGTAGAGGGAACAAAAAATGTTCTTGAAGCTTGTGCAAAGACCAAGGGTGGAGTAAAAAGAGTTGTACTGACAAGCTCCTGTGTTGCGATTTATCGTAAGTAAAATGTGTTGGAATCGGGGACGGGACGGGGGATACAAGCCTTACAAGAAGCGAAAAACCAAGTCAGCTCTAGCCTCCCACGCAGACTTTCTTACAGGCCTCGTCACCTAATCCAGATTAGTCAGCCAGGCAAGGAGCGAGGCCAAGCTAAAGAATTCCAGTCCTGCTATGTATATTCGTTCTCACAAGGGATCTGGTTAAAAAAGCACCGCCAATGCTATCATATCGTAAATTATTTAAGTATTTGAAACATTTAAAGCTTATGCATTTAAAAACATTTAATACTCAGATTTCTTATTAAAATAGTTACAGAATTAGCCTAGCCGCACTCCCTCGCAGCCATTATTTCTTATGATATTGTGATGGCCTCTCCTATAAGCCTTTTGGTTTTTTGAGGTCTCCCCTCCTAAGAACATGCTGTATTCTGTTAAATTCCTTTTTACATCAAGGCTAACGAATGATGATGATGATGATGATGCACATTATTATTTTTACTTTTTGTTTGAGGGGGGAGATGTGAGTACAAAATTTGGATTTGCGAAGGGGGCGGGAAGGTAGGCGGAGTGGAAGCTCTACCTACAAAAAAGTGTATTTCTCTCTTGCTCGTTTGCTTTCTTTTCAGCTGGTAATATCCCTTCAGAACGCGTTTTAACCGAGGAGGACTGGGCCGTAGACGAGGTCAGTTCTCCGTACGAAAAAAGCAAGCGCCGTGCCGAGAAAACAGCTTGGGAACTAGTGAAAAATTTGCCAGGTGAACAGCAAGAAAACATTTTCGTCACTGACGTCCTCCCTAGTCTTCACTTAAATGTTAACAAGGGAAGCGCGGGGAGGGGGGGGGGGAAGAGATGCTGTATAGTCTCCCGCAACCAGCCCGCAATTGTTCTTTGACCGCCTACAAGAGACGACTGAGAACGAGTCGGTTCTTGTCGTCTGCAGACCCTAGTTGGCCGTGGCCTTCTTGGAGATGCTGTATGACACCGCCACTTTCGCGCTTCCCATAATACACTTCTCCTCATGCATCGCGTTACGTTCTCTTTCTTTGCGTTGCGCTCGCTCGTGACTTCTCACGATATCCCCCAAGTGGAAAGATTTCTCGCAGGCTAGATGCAACCCATATTTGCACTCCTTCTTCGAGAAGTTGACCTTACTCTTTTGATTTTTTACAAGTCTTACCTAGAGAAATGATTTATTACTTGACTTATTGAAATATTTGTTTAGTTTGCGTTGTTGTGATCTCGCCTTTGCGAATGTATTTTATAGATGATGAAAAGTTTGAGCTGAGTTGCATCAATCCTGGACTTGTTTTTGGACCAGTCTTACATGGGTCATCCTGCACGAGTATGGAGGTAAATCGAAATACATACTATATTCAGTTTCCATGATACGACATATTGGGATCCATAAAAACAGGCAGAAATGGGAAAAAAGTTTAACCGGTGAATGAGATATTTTAGGGCCGGAAAGGATATAACAGAAGAATATCTGGATGCCAAGGTTACCGGGACTTTTGAGAAACGGGAACCAACAACCATGGATGTAGATATAAAACCTTTTCCCTTAAGAAACAGAACCAAACTCGTCCCCAGGGTGCTGGGAAAAGCGCCCTGGGCCTGGGGACGAGGTTAAAACAGAACGACTCGCCCCATATATGGGAGTCTGGATTCAGTCATCCAGCAAATTTTTGTTGTGGAATCTGGAATCCTGGGCTTTGGAATCCGGAATCCCACTAACGATTGGAATCCGAAATCCAAGTTCCACCGAGAAAGAATGCGGAATCCAATTCCTAGAATCCGGAATCCACGGCGTGGAATCCAGAATCCAAGACTGTCTTGGATTCCCTTGCACAGACGAATCTTGCAACTCTTTGCACTTTGAACGAATTAACGTTTCAAGGTATTTTTTGTTATAGTTTCACCTTAACATGCTTCATCGTGGAGCACCGTTTATCCCGAAAATGTCATTACCTTTTTCTGACGTCCGAGATGTTGCCGCAGCGCATATAACAGCCATGACGTCACCAAAATCCCCCGGTAAGTGAAATAGCTCCATTTCAAATGAAGGGAAGAAAATTTAAACGAAATATCTTTTATAAAGCGAATGTAACCCAAACCCTTTGCAAATATAATTGGAATTAATAGTGATAAATAAATAAACACTCCATGTACATTGTATGTAAGAACAGCACAGTAAGCTAAAACTTCAGCGTAACTTATTAAAAGTTATCTCTGTCTGACCTCGATGGCTTGTAGTATTTTTTAAGTAATTGATAACCTGATTAGGATAGAGGACCACTACTTTTTTAGTTGCACTCTTACGTGCCACCCTCTTCAAATTAAGTAAAGATGTTAAGGGTAGACTCACTTCCTTACTTTTACCTGGGACAAACTTAGATCCCCACCTTAAACCATCTCTCGCTTGAGCCCAATTTCCACTTGCGCATTTCCCATAATACACCTTGTTTGCCTCCCAAAATTGGGGGACAAATTCACCGGACTATTAAGACTGTCTCGTTCTTCCTTTTATGATGTGGTGCCAGGAAACAGGTATATCACCATTACAAAATGCGCGTGGTTTGAAGAAGCGGCAAAAATGCTGGATGAAGAATTTAGGCCTCTTGGTAAGTGAACCGATTGCTATACGTTTCATTGTTTTACTTTTCTAAACACAACCGGCGTGAAAAGGGCTTAAAGTAAAAGGAGAGGGCGTTCTTGCAAATGACGAGCGAGCGACGCTTGTCCGCGAGCTAAGTTCTCAAGTTCTGTTAGCACAGCCTTAGACTGAGCTTATTTAAGTTAAATTAATTTATTTAATTTAATACATTGTCACTCCATAAATTGATAACAAATAAGAAGGGAGTGGTGGGGAAGGACTAGTAGGAAACATTTTTGAGAACTGTACGAGCAAGTCCAACCAATTTTAAAATAACTTTGAACAGGCATGAAAAGAAAGGTATGCCCAAGTAACATAAGACGACAACGATCTAAGTCTCAAATCTTATTCATGTAATACTCTCTGGAACACTTTTTCAAACATGACCGGCTTAGGCTTTTAGTCTGGCCCAAGCTTCTTGGTAAGCGATCCCATAAAAAGGAAAAAATTATTCGGCGCAGAATGTTGTGCAAAATTGTACCAGGCACTTCTTTGACTTACTTGCTCGAATTAGCGCTCTCTTGTAATTAGCACCCTCCAGCAAAATAACGCCCCCCTTTAGGCTTAAAATATTAAATAAGCGACTCCCCCTTAACACATCTCCTTACTGATACAAGGTATACAGTGCGTACATGTTCAATAAACATTAAGCGTATCATAGAATCAATTGAAGATGATCCATTTAAGGGCTTCACATGGCCAAAGAGGCCTGGCTCCTCAGGGAATAGTGCTTGAGGATAGCGATTGAATAGGTACCACACAAACACACATCTGGGTACATACGCTAAAGATACGTTCTTGTTTCCCTATTTGGACTATTCGATGTTACAGTTTTCCTTCATTTGGGACAAAGTCGAGTGTCATGTCGAGACCGAAACTCTGAAAAAAATTCAGTTGAATTAACCCCCCCCCCCCTTCCGCTTCGAATTAGTGCCCCTTCTCGACTCAAAAAATAATAACACTAAGCACCCTGGCCCTGGGTTCTTATTTAAGCATTTCGGTTATATTGCGGCAGTTTTGAAACCAGCTTTCATCTGGTTGCATTTAAGGTTATGATGTTCCCAGTGAAGTTAAGGAGTTAGGCCCCAAGTTTAATCATGAAGTGAAACTGGACAATTCCAAGGTAAGTGACTTTACCTACTTTGGTAAGAAAACGTTTACGTGAAGAAAATTTGTCCCGGGAAGGAGGGTCATCCTCCAAGCCGAGTTAACTATAGCACATTAATATGAGAACAAAGTTGACACAAGAGCATTCGCGCATGCGCGGACTGTCTCGCCTTCAGCCGTATCGAGTTGACCTAGCCTGCGAGCAAGCTCTCCGGGGCGCTCTGGCGGAGGGGCGGGAAAATGAAGAAGAGCTTGCAACTACGTCTCTGGAATTTGAATTCCACCTACAATTCCCCTGTGGCTCCCTGTCGACTGAGCTGTCAGATTTCCACCAATCAGCGCAAAGCAGAAACGAGCGCCAGTGTAAACAAACATTGAAAAACACGTGCCAAGGGTAATGACGTCATTGCAAATGTAATGTTCAAATTCCAGCGACGTAGTTGCAAACTCTCCTTCCTTTTCCCGCCCCGGAGCGCCCCGGAGAGCTTGCTCGCAAGCTAGAATTGACCCGACTGAGCGAGCCAAAGTGTTTATATGGAGAAAAGTTGGCCCGGCTAAGGGAGTAACTCTACCATCGAAAAATGGTGTCCTGGCAAGGCGGGTCACCCTTCTAGTCGCTCCAACTTAACTTTTTGTTTCTCCGGTTAACGGTTCGAGCCATTTTGTAACGAAATGAACGAAAAGTTAACTCGCCCAGGTTAGCTCGGGTAGGAAAGTAACCCTTCTATCTGGCACAGCATTTCTTCATATAAACAGGGCCATAGTATAGCTCCGGTTTCATTCCGGCGGATTAAAACTCAAACATCGGTTACCGGATTGATTCTCGCCCAGCCTCGACCATCGTTTCTTTCTCTTTCTCTTTGATTCCCATATAATTCTTCTCCTTAAAATGAAACTACTTGATAAAACATAAACTTACCAATTTGTAGTTCCGTAAACATTTTCAGTGCTCGTGCAATTGTCTTCTTCTTGTTCGGTTCAACAGTTTCAATATTTCGTTTGAATCACGGCACTTGAACGCAAGTAGAAGTTTGTATCACTTTGTTCATCAATTTCCCAAGTTATTTGCATAACTATAGTTCACCGACTTTTGTCACATTGATTGTTTTTGTTCTGTGTTTTGAATAAAGCACGCTTAGAATAATAAATCAACCAATAAGAGCAAAATGCGATACTCCAGGGATTTGATGCTGAATTGTTCAAGCACTATCGGAACGTGTTTTAGCAAGTCTAAAACTCTCGCGCCTCGCTTTCAAATTTTAAAGCTTGATGAAAGATTGTTGTTTGGGCTTTAAACATTTAGAAAAGAGTGGCTTTCATTCAAAGTTTATTTACTATTTTTCGAATCCCTCATAGTATACGCTGTTTGCCCCCCACCCCTCCCACCTCCAAATTTTGCATAAGTTATCAATTGTTTTAATTGTTCTTTGGAATATACAGTCCTCCAAGAGTATTTGAAGTCTTCGAAAACAAAAGTTTAATCATGCAAACTTGGGGGCAAGCAGGGTGTATTATATATGAGGAATTCAAATTCGAATTATAGAATTCTCAAGCAATTCTTGATTCTTCTAACATTACTTGTAGGTAAAGTCGGATCTAGGATTCCAGCCACGGGACTTCAAGGCCAGCGTGATCGAAATGGCCTACAATCTGATTGAGTCTGGCTTTATCAAGAAGACACCTAAATACGAGGAGATCAAAGGAGGAAAGTCGACTGCCCATTGATTAAATCATGGAGATTACACCAGGAAAACTTTTGGTTACTTTTTTACGGTGGACTGTCGAAAATGCTTCTCCCGAGAACTCTGCTATAAAATTTAAGGTGGATTTCTGCTGTCGCTAGGGCTCTGGGTACGAGAGTGGGCATGACTAAAGGTTGATTTCCACTGACGCGTTTTTGGCTACACACGTTAACGCACGTAAATTTTGATCACGTAAATACAATAGAGGCAAGATAAATAGTGCTGAGCTTAAACGCGGAGTTGAGCGAGGTTCAACTATTACGCTTACGAGCGACCTTTCATGCATTGCCTCTATTTCATCATATCTGCGAACGTAAATTTTACGCACGTACGCATGTAAAAATTAAGCGACACTGGAAACCAACCCATACATCGACATACACCTCCACTACTTTTTATAGCTAGGAGAGTTCACCGTTCGGGACGGTATTCCATCGTTTAGTTTGGTCTGTTTTGTGTTATAAAAGGATGAGTCTTACTGAAAATTAAACCTGTTACACGGTTTCCCCTTTCCCGTCTTCCTCTTAACTTCCTTGTTGCTGTCGTATTTTCAGTGCAAAAACGGACTGGTACTTTCGGAATTACTTTCTTGAGTGAGAGTGTTTTAAGGTGATAGGAAAACCCGTGCACGTTGTAACCGGGCTAATGTAGTTTCTTGGTGTTGCGAACGGAAGCAACCACCAAATGACGTAATACAGAAGATTGAAAAGACAATAAACAATACCAACACCCCAACACAAAAGCCAACCAACAATGGTTTTCGCAATACCAACGGGGCTAGCCTTTTCTCGGGTAGGTACTTTTACCGGTCGCTGTTCGGGTATTAACCCCGCGCTCTACTCGCGAATTCAAGGAACAAGGCGGACTCGAGAGAGTGGCCGAAATCGAGCTTTTGACTAGCCTTGGGGCTTCGTGGGTCAGCAACGCGTGACGAAGCCCCCCACAGCACGAAAGTATATAAATGATAGCGCATAGTCTGCGTCGCAGCCAGCCCACGCATCGTCGAAATCATTTGTTAGGGACGGGCCATTAGAAAACTTATGAGGGGGGGGGGGGGGGGGGGGGGGGGGGTCGTGACGTAGTGTTGTAAGTGGTCTTGTATGGGCTGTAGTGCGGTGCTTGAGGCGACAGGAAGGGTGTATGTGGGGGGAGTGGGAGGGGGGTAATAATTGATGTGTGTGGGTGTGGTGGGGGGGTAGGGGGCGGGTGAAGTACAAAAAAAAAATCGCGCAAGGGAAAATTAAATGAAAAAAATTCTTGCACGCCAATTAACCCTAAAAAATATTCATGCTATGACCTAAAAAAATTCATACAAGGAATTTGATGACGAAAAAACATTCCTGCGGCTCGAAAATTCCCTTTCCCCCCTCTCCCCATAACTTTTCTAATGGTCCGTCCCTTAGTCAAGAAAGTTTTAGAGTGTCTTCGACGCAGGCTAGATCATAGCGCATAACCCCAAGAATGGCTGCGCGGCATGCAACAAAAGGGACACGCCAACGTGTCCGTATTATCCAGGGCGTAATGTCTTCACTGTATAAACTATAAGCACAAACTGAAGAAGTATTCTCTCGTTCAAATATTTTTCTACTATTATTGGAGGTTGCGTCAGCAGATTATTTATTCTTAATCTTACTTACGCAATGTCCAACAAAATTACGGTGTGTCACGAAACCACACACCTCAAACCCCTGAGTGTCTCGTAAACAGAGACCTCTTGGACGTCTGAAGTGAAACTTAAATGTTTTTTATCGTGACAAAGATAAATCTGAAAGCGAAATTTTGTATGGATTACTTTAATGCGAGATGTTGATTGTCGAGTCGAGAGTGATATTGTTTCATCTATTTGAGATGATATACTTCAGTGCATGCACAGAATGACTATGCATTTTTTAAAAAAGCCCGAAGATTTTTTAAGTGTTGGGTGACGTACGAAAGATTTCCGACACGACAACTCATATTTTCTTGACCTATGTAACCTGCGTCGCGCGCGCCGGCGTGTCCGATTCTTTAACCTGCCACGCAGGGTATCCCTGACCTAACCCACTTACCAAGGCCGTGAATAAACGAACACTTTAAGTTAAAAACTGTTATCATTATTATTTAAACCACTTACTCTTGTTTGTTTGCCAGTTAATTGACGGTTAATCGTGAATATCAGTGCAGCGTAAATTGTTATGTCCATTGTTTAATATATTATTCTGCACCGTACAATATTTGTGCAATATTTGTTCAGGTTTTGTTTCAATGGATCACTGAACGTCCCTCCCCCACCCCCAGCTGCCTTCCTTAAAGAACAATATCTTAATCTTACTCTGCAAAAATTCAGAAGTCACATTTTGCGAAATTTTGTACTTAAAGAAAGCTTTAAAGCAAGGCGTTTGGCATAATAGCGATATTTGCAACCAGGAGGGTCTGTGTTCTCCGGGTGTCCGAAGTCGGAGTTAATTTTCGTGACTCCCCCAACATTTCGTGCACCGGCAAAACAGTCGAACTTACGTTTTCCGGGACACTTTCGTACACCACCACCAGGAACATGTCTCGCGTTCTCGTAACAGGGGCTTCTGGCTTCGTGGCTATGCACATCGTCAAAGAGCTAGTCGAGTCAGGTAAATATATCGTGCGAGGAACCGTGCGAAGCCTTAAAAACGAAAAGAAGGTTCAGCCATTGAAAGATCTTTGTCTGGAAAATGCGAAATACCCACTGGAATTAGTCGAGGCAGACTTGCTAAAGAAGGAAACGTGGCCAGAGTAAGTTTGAGTCTGAGTATTTATAGTGTTCACCCAATGATCGTTATATAAAACAGAAACATTTCTGGGTTTGAAGAAATATACCGACGGCTGTCTAATTCAACAATTTGTTGATGTGATATTACCAATTACGCTTTCTTAACATGTGCTATGGAACTTAACGTTAGCCAATAAAGTTTTTGCAAATGGCAAAATCACAGCTTCCTTTTCAACAAATTTGTCTCCCAAGTATTTTATTAAATGCTACAAACATCAAAAATAAACTTTGAAAAACAGCTAGGCCAATAGTTTACAAAAGCCACAATTACAATCCGTACCAATTAAAGTTAGTCCATCCGTGCCTTAATTATACGTACTTAGTGTGTTATCTATACCTTCTTTAAATATTTAGGTAGGCATTTTTCGGTTTCACTCAATTTTATGGCAGTTCCTACTGTTAAAAGTTTGATAATTCTTCTGATGCAGCTAGCTATTTTTTTTACTATAGCTGCATTATCAGGCTTAATGCAGGTACAGTATCTATATTTTATTAGCACAGTCAGATGCTGTATTACAGTTTTAAAACTTGTACGGATCCGGAAAACAATGCTAATGCAAAATTTTTGGGGCCAAACAAGGTGTGTTAGGGACAATGCGAAGCTTTCGGCTGATGAAGACTCGAGCAATTTTGTCTATCAGTCATTGTAAAATGTGGCTTTACTGGTCATTTTCTTAACAGTGCGGTTAAAGACTGTACCTTTGTTATTCATGTGGCATCCCCTTTCCCCATGGAAGATCCAAAAGACGAGATGGAGGTGATAGGTCCTGCTGTGGAAGGAACGCGGAATGTGCTTGAGGCCTGTGCAAAGACGAAGGGCGAGGTCAAAAGAGTTGTACTGACAAGTTCTTGTGCCGCAATTATTGGTAAAAGTGTAGTAGTCCTTAGCCTGAGAAAAGCAGCTGACATTTTGCGACGCCACGACTGGTTTCCCCATGAAATGACGTCAGAGAAACGAGCGCAGAAATTCTGACTGATGACGCGTCACTACCCAGATCCGGGTAGTGCTTCTGATTGGTTATTAATTTGCTGTAACCAATCAGAAGCACCTACCCAGGTCTTGGTAGTGACTGGTCATCAGTATTAGACGTCGGACGCGATCCATTCAACCAAAATTTCCGGAAATTTTGGTCCAAAACTCAATGGATCGGTTCGGTCCAACCGGAAAAAATTCGAAAAAACGGGTTTGAGGTGGACCACTTTTCCCGGTCGGACCGGTTGGAATTTTGGTTGAATGGATCGCGCCCATCATTTCTCGGGGAAACTGGGAAACCAGTCGTGGCGTCCAGGAATGTCGGCTGTTTTCTCAAGGTAGTTGTCCTTTTTCCATTGCGTCGTAACAAATCGTAAAAAAGGAACGTTATTTTTACAGGCACATGACGTTATCTTTCAAGATTTTGCTTTCTTGTGCACATTAAGCCTATTGTCTTTTAAACGACGCTGGGTTGACTAAATTTTTATGAAAATCGCAATAAGTTAGCTAACAAAATATTAAGTTTCAATTGGTAATCATCGTGGATATGATATGGTCTATAAAGTCAAGATGATGCAGAAAAGCATCAGCAATACCAAAAAGAATTACTGTTAAAGATGAAACTCAAGGCTGATGTGAAGACTAAAAATGATAATTAAATTCTTGCTGAATGATTTCGTTTTGCCAAAAATTTCTGTCAGGGGATGCAAAAAGCTAAGTAAAAATCTCTAGATGTAAAGTGACATAAAAGAAAAGGAAACTGAGTGTTTAATTTAATGAGATCTATGTGTTTGCTTGAAGCTGGTAGATTCTCAGAGGATCACGTCTTTACCGAGAAAGACTGGTCATTAGAAAAGGAAGGCACCGTTTATGAGAAGAGCAAGCGCCGCGCTGAGAAAGCAGCTTGGGAGCTGGTGAACAATTTGCCAGGTATCGAATACTCCGTTTTTGATATTAAGGGTGCGTTCGATTGGGAAATCCGGATTTAGATTTTCAAAATCTAAATCCGGATTTCCCAATCGTACGCGAAATCCGAAAACGGATTTCTCCTCCGAGAAATCCGTCCTCAGGGTGGATTTCAATTAAGAAATCCAAATCCGGATTTCATGGATTTCCTTTTTACCGTTCGATTGGGAAATCCGAAAAAGGATTTGCAAAACTATTCTCGTGAAATTTGGTTTTGGCTGAGTTTGTGCTTTGGGAGTTGTCTATTGTTTCTAGTCTGTCATTATACAGCATTCTTGTTCAGCACGCGTGCAAAGACCGCGCTTGGCTGACTTCCGAATGCTCACCGAGATATAATAATTTTGGTACAGTGAGACAGGCCATCGCGTGATACATAGAGGTTTAAGTCACAATTTTTAATCAATTCTCGTGCTTCTTGTGCCTTTGCAAAAAAATCAAGAAGTGCTACACACTAAATCTACTTACTATTAAAAAAATATCATTTTTTCATAGGTTTAATGCAAGCCAATAATTAAACCAACTCGTGACGGGAATATCTCGGTGAGCATTCGGAAGTCAGCCAAGCGTGGTCATTGCACGCGTGCTGAACAAGAATGCTGTATAATGACAGACTAGAAACAATAGACAACTCCCAAAGCACAAACTCAGCCAAAACGCTAAAAATCTTCAATGTTTACTCAAGTTTGGGCTTATAGAAGATAATGTCACAGTTTTTCAATGACCATGAAATTCAGAGTCCGGGTAGTTAGTTAATCAATTGTGGCCCTGAAAAAATTTGAAGGAAAAAAAACTACGAATTTTTAAGAAAATGCTTTTTTCGTGAGAAGGACTCTTAAACGCTGACAAACGTCAACAAATAGCGAAAACTATAATTTCTATATGTTTGCTTTGCTCGAAATCGCGCGCATTTACAAGGCCCTAAAGCGTTTTGCTGACTTGCAAGGACCCATCTGTTATAACGATGCCCAAAATAAAGAGATGAATCTCATAGTTTATTAGATATAATCCGTGTAAAGTTTGCTTATCATTTTCGCATAAATTATGACCTAAATTTGGAAACCGCTGAATTTCTCGAATTGGGTCTTTGCGATTTTGGTGAAACTCTGTTCAGCGCAAGGCACTAATGCGCACTATGTGTAGCCGAGAGATTTTCACGAAAAAATGCCGGCAACAGCAGATTTTCGACTCAGACCTCAAAGGGGCGTGGCATTATAACCACGTGACATTTACTCCGATCGCCACAAATTTTATGTTATATTGTAGATTGATCTATATGTTATCCATTCTATGTGTTAGACTTACGATAAAAGTAAAGGTGGGGATACCAGAGAGCTTCAAAGTAGGATGGTACCCCCCCAAAAAAACTGGGTCGAGTCACCTTAAGCCGTGATGTTATTGGCTATGAAGACTTGTATTGTCATAGGTGCGTTTCGATCCTTTTGTTGTCACAGTTAAACAGTCGTTTATTGTTTATAGTCAAATTGTTAGTTGTCCTGTCGTTTTCTCGCAGTTAATTTTGCTTGATTCGGTCAATAAGGACCTGTTTACATGGAGGTGGGGTACCCTAGATAGGTGAGGTAACCCGCTTAGGTAGGGTAACCCGCCTGTCCATATAATCTCTCATTTTAATGTGATCACGTTTACATGTTAGGTGGGGTAACCCGTCACATGTTACCTCACCTATCTGGGGTCCCCCACCTTCATGTAAACAGGCCCTAAGTCTTTTGTACGGTGCCGCTGGGTAAGTGATGACTACGACTCAGTGGCGCTTGTTTTAGCTTTGGTTCGTCTCATGAAAAGTTGAGGCCTAAGAAGGAATTTAGGTACTTAAGAGACTATTTCTGAGTTGTACCAGCTTCTGTTTTAAAGCGAGGCTAAGTGTGAAGCTATACCCTGGTTCCAGAGGTTTTTCTTGATTTTTCTTCGCGAAAGAGATCAAGAGCAAGCCGCGAAGCGGCGACAACGAGTCGCGAAAGCGTCCAGGAGAGAGAGAAAAACCTCTTTTTCTCTCTCTCTCCTCGTCGCTTTCGCGACTCGTTGTCGCCTCTTCGCGGCTTGCTCTTGATCTCTTTCGCAAAGAAAAATCAAGAAAAACCTCTGGAACCAGGGTAGCGAAGCTATTGCTATGAAATGATTTTTTAACCTCATGTAACTAATACTTATTTTCATAAGCAAGGTTTTGTACCTAGCCACGTTTTGAAAGTGAGAATTTTTGGAACTCGGAATTGGCGTATTACTGAACCAGTTCTAAAAGTATTGGGATATTAAAAGCTTATAAGCATACACTGAATGTTCATGAAAAAAAGGGGCTTTTGCCACGTTCTTCGTTTAAACATTGCAATACTTTCGCCCTTAAATACTGACTGACGTCATTCCAATTAGCTACCCTGTGCGTCTTTGAGGCAGTATATCAAGAATAAATCAGTCCACTGTAAGTGACACAATTGTAAAAAGAGTCATATGTCTCTCAATAACTAGGAGGTATTGCTGTTTTACATTCTGTAACAACTGTCAGTTGTGTATCAAATGTCACTTAAGATGGCTGAACACAGTTTTGCGGGCGGTCAGCGGTAGCGCATGTTTTAAATTAGACAAACAAACATGGCGGCGAACTGGAAAACAATGGTACAGAGAAGACGATTTCTCAAAATCTGCTCATTAAAATTTTGCGATATTTGGCAGAATTTTTACTTTTATCGTATTTTAAAAAATGAGAACTTTAAAATGGAAGCTGAACAGACGAATTTTGTGACACATTTAATAATTGCGGTACAATAATATTATGGATTACCTAAAAATCTGTCTGTTCAAATTTGGTCAAATAATTTTCAAATGGTAATGATTAATTATGGTAAGCTGTGTGCAAGTTTATAGGAAAATCTTATGAGCCAATTATATGTAAACTGAGCAAAAGTGAAATTTTAAGGTTGTATTCAATCGTTCATGTTGCCATGGAAACTACGAAAACATCAAATTTTACCTGTCAATCAAAATCTTTCATTAGTATATTTTTCACTTGCCAAGTTTCAGCTTGTGAGCTGCAACCTTTCTCTTGCCATGACTTGGCAAATGACATATACTCACAAACTGCCAAAACAGTGTTCAGCCACCTTTAAAGTCTTTAAAAATAAATAACATGAGAGAGAGATTTAAGTGGCCCTTTTGGGACGTCATTCTCAGCCCTTATAATGCACCTGTTCCTTTTTTCTATTAAAATCTCCATTCATTTTGCAAGTCGTTACAGATAACATTAGCGTCTTAGGGTATTCGTTAGAAGGGGTAAGGAGCTTTCACCTCTCCTATCAACTAACACTGATCCAACTGACCTATCCATTCTCCTTCTAGATGATGAAAAATTTGAGCTGTGTTGTATCAATCCAGGATTGATTCTTGGACCAGTGTTGCACGGATCTTCTTGCACAAGTATCGAGGTACTTGTATTTCAATAGATTTGAAAGCAAAGGCAAATCTGAAGGTGGTCGAGGGTTGGGCCTCGTTAAAAGAATAATGTTTAACAATGTAAGACATATAAATGTCCCTGACGTGGAAACGCCAGGTCTGCAGCAGGGATAGACTCGAAACAACTTGGTAAAGAACCGTTAAAAAAGCAATGGCGGATCAAGACCCTTAGACAAAAGGGGGGCCCAGTCTCAAAAAAAAATTTTTTTCAGCCCTTCGGGCCTCAGTTCGGTGTAAATAAAGGGGGGCCGGGCCCCTTCGGCCCCTTCCCTGGATCTGCCACTGAAATGTATGACTGAAGTGGACTTAGCTGAGTGTTCCCTGGATGTGAAAGGAGGCTTTATAAGGCTACGTTCACATGGCAGGGGACGAATTTTCGACTGGCAAAAAAATTTGACAGGACACCTCGTTCACAGGGGGCCATGAAATATTTTTTTCTCTGTTCTCGCGGAATTTTGAACGGTACGCGTCTAAATATTCGTCCGGTTAAGGTGGTTCCGTATTAACGGAACACCTAAACGCATGAATTTTCATCCGTTGCCGCGAGAGAAAGGCTAGAACTCGTGCAAAGTTGAAAGAATCGAACTGAAGTTGGTCTTATTATCATAAACCACTCATAATGTTATGATGGTGATGATTCTTAAAAATATATCTTTTCTTTTTTTTAAGTTTGTGCGGAGCATGCTCGAACGTGTTGTGCCATATGTGATTAGGATGTCATTGCCAATAAGTGACGTCAGAGATGTAGCTGCAGCACATATCACAGCTATGACGTCTCCTAAAGCGTCTGGTAAGCAAACAACCTCATTCCCGGGGCCTCTCTATTACTAAGTAGAGGGAGGACCCTGGACAGGAGGCTCGTAAGTAAAATGTATCACTACAATGGGCTATTTCCGAGTCTTGCCAAGCCTCTGTTTCAAAGCGAACATTATTTTTCGTCTTTTTTCTTGTCTCAGGCAATAGATATATTACCATAACAGGCTGCTGGTGGTTCGAGGAAGTAGCGAAAGTTCTTGATGAGGAATTTCGACCTCTTGGTAAGTTCAGCCTTAGGAAAAAGAGAATCCACTTTTTTCGAACTTCTGATAATTCAAATCAAAACTGAGCTTACTTCCCTGTCAAACTCTCGAATTTGTTTTTTTTTTAGCTCGGTTTTTCGAACCTCCCGTATTTTCACTGTATGTAAGAATACGCACCAACGCAACATGTTGCCTCAATCTGTTATCGTGGGTTGGATGTAGATCATTTTATAAGTGGCATTTGCATTACCTAGTTTTCTTTGCCCGTAGTAATGGGAAAAACTGTTGCATTCTGATTTTTTTTTTTGGTGGGGGGGAGAGGGTTAATTTTTAATAGCCCATTTCCGAGTTGCTCCAAGCCGCTGTTTCAAACCGAGGCCAAGTGCAAAGCCATTGCTATGAAAATGATTCTTTATTGTCCTGCAAATAAAATTCATTTTCACAAGAAAGGCTTTCCACTAAGCCTCGCTTTGAAAGTTAGAGGTTATGAAACTCGGAACTGGCCTTATTTTGCTTACAACTGCGACGATCATGTCTTCATTTAAATTTGTTTTTCCGCAGCTCTCATCATCTTCAATCTAAGTTTCATTCCTTTCACCGGTTAAAATGAACTGAAACAATTGGCCTGCTCTTACTGTTTGAGTCTTCAAAGCTCAGTTGATAGAGCACTGCAGCGCTAACGCAGAGACCATTGATTCAAATCCCGTTGAAGCCCAATTATTGTTCGGATTTGCAATTGCTTAAATTGCTATTACCTCTGCGACGATCATATCTCCATTAAAAAATACTTCTGATGTAAAGGAAAAGTTGCCTCGTGATTTTTTAATTTACACTTCCAAGGAAAACTTGTCGTAACGCAAACTTGCTCGGGGAAATGAGATTTTAGCTATATCAGTGAGGGTTTTCAATTGAGCGCCAAATGAAATTTCGTGAAAGGGTCTCTCGCCTTTCTCGCGTGGGGTGATCTTCACGCGCTGTCCTGTTTCGCTCGCTCTAGCTATCCCTGAGGAAAAATGGGGACTACTATTAGTCTTAACCCAACTTTGATGTCATTTATCATTTTTTGCCAGGCTATGATGTGCCAAGTGAGATAAAGGTAGTGGACCCCAGCATTCAAAATAAATTAAAGATGGACAGTTCCAAGGTATGTGCATGCTTAGTAAATAAAACTAACAATCATACATGCTAACTGGTTCCTGCATGTGGGTTTGATAGTTACCTCAGTGGATTGTTTAAATGAAATACTCAGAGTATGATGGAACTTTTTAGAAGACAATGACTATAAGCAGGCCTTTATTGGTGACTTTGTAGAGTAAACAGATCTTCATCTTCAGTTGAAAACATTAGGAAGCTTACCGATTTCCTTTCTCATGAATAAATTCTTCTTTTAATATCCAATATTGAACCGGGGATGGGGGTAAAAATTGATCGTTTTGTTTCTTTGTTTTTGGCTGCCTTCCCAACTACATCTCCAGTTCTTCGCCTCTCGTATAATAAGCCCGGGGGAGCTACTTTGTTAATTTTTGCTTGGTATGTGCCGCTGGCCTCTCAGAGCCCCTACCCCATTATAGCATTATAGTCTATTCTGAGGCCAATAATATTATTATAGACCCCATCTTTGGGCAAATATGCAATTTTCTCGATCCTAGCTTAGTCAGTCTCTATTTTTATGAATTGGCCCATTTCTTAAATTGAATTAAGAACACGTTACTTTTCATCTGCAGTACAAACATTCTGGTACGTTTGCTAACCGAAGAATGTGAAGAGCTCTCTTACACCCAAAAATCAGAAAATGTGCGACCCCAATCAAGTAACTCTGTTGAAAATGCGACCCCATTATAGTCAATCCAGTCGTGAAAATGCGACCCCATCCAGCGGCACATCCTCATTAGTCTCTTAAAAGGAAGTAACCACGCCGGATAAAAAGTAATCCTAGACAGACTTAAATTCTGGATTTCATGCAGTGGATGCTGGATTCCCAGCAACTGAATTTCGGATTCCTTGTCAGTGGAACTTGGATTCCGGATTTCAATCGTTTTTTATAGCAGGTTTTCGGTAGTTAAGGATTCGAAAGGCCTGGTTTCCGCATTCGGGATTCCACTGCCAAGCAAAAACTACCTGGATTTTGGAATCCGGATTACCTATTTGGCGGTATCCAAAAAAACTTTTTGCGGCTCTTTCGACCTCAGTTTGGCCTAAAAAGTAGGGGGGCGGGGCCGCCGGGCCTCTCCCTTGGATCCGCCACTGCACGGGACGAAGTCCTACTTTTGAATGAGATAAAACGGAGCATTATACTTTTCTGGGAACTGCCCATCTACCCCTCCTCTAAGCCAACATTAACACTTGCTTCTCACTTAGGGCAAAATGTTGGCTTAGGGGAGGGGTGGGTGAGCAGTTTCCCAGAAACGTATATTGGTCGAACCGAAAAAACTGACAGTGCTTAACACATTTGCTAAAGCTTTATCTAAAAATGTGCGAAATAACTTGTTTTCCCTTTCAGATACAAGCTGACCAAGGATTCAAGCCCATAGATTTAAAGACCACTATATTAGAAATGGCATACAACCTGATTGATGCAGGTTTTGTAAAAAAGACCCAAAAATTCGAGGAAGTCAAAGGAAAGTTGGCAGTAAAATCTTAGGCAAAGTGCTGTTAGCCCAGATTTTTGACGACCAAAGAAAATATTTAATAAAATTCGAGTATGATTCTCCATAACCAGTAAAAGTTTTATTTCCTTTCACCAGTTTTCATGCGCTTATAGCCTGTAATAAGGCCATTTTTTAGCTCTTTACGTCCCAACAGTGACCAACAGCAAATTTCTCCTAACATTATCTATACATCAACGAGACACGGGTTATGAGAACTAATCAAATGATCACCAAAGGTCCACCAAAGGGTAAACCCTTTGATCTTTTAACAATTCTCTCAATAGGCCACTTCCGAGTTCCAAAACCCCTCACTTTCAAAATAAGGCCAAGTTTACAACCTTTCTTTTGAAAATGAGTTTTATTTGGATGAGAAAAAAAAATCATTTCCATATAAAAATTAAGGCTGAGCACTTAACCTCGTTTTGATACAGAGGCCCGAGGGAACTCAGAAATGGCCGATTAATTTTTCAGGGAAATGTATGGTGATGTCGATATTGGAGTTAAAGGCTAAAGGAAACGATAGCCCCAGACTGGGAGTATAGCTTATTTTAAAACCCGCAATGCATGCTCACGATTGTAGGCGATGCTTCATCGCGAAAGGCAGGATTTTGACAGCGCGAACAGCATCAGATTTGGCAGTCGGAAACGTAAAGCTTACCACTCTTAAGAGCCATAAATGCTCTTGCAAAGCAAGTAGTATGGATAGTTCCACCTATGCAAAGTGGCATGACCCATACTTCTAAAGACAAAATAACGTTTAAGAAGCATTTTCCGAAGCAAGTGATCGTCGCAAATGTGATCCATTTGTTCTCAAGCGGAACAAAGATACTCACCCCCAAAATAACATTTATGTTAAAAATTGTCCTCGTCTGGCAAATTTAAACTAATATTTTGTCTTATTGACCCACCATTACACTCTTTGAGAAATTTCATATTTCTCAATGTTCTCGGCAAAACTTTTCTTCCCGAAATTAAGCCTAAAAAAGGTCAAATCTCGTGTATCTCGAGCCTTTTAAGAAAACTAGCCTTCGTCGCTTACTGCGCATGCTGGTTTGACGTTTCCCGACCGCTGATCAAGGGGAACGAAGACGCTGAGTAAGGTGAATAAAAGTCCAGAAAAGAAGAACTTGGAAATGCGTAAATCCAATTGCGGACACTTTTCAGTAATTGTTTCCTTCGTCTAAAGTGAACTGCTTTTTTTAGCGGAGCTACGTGCGTCCAAACGTCCAGCCTTTCATATAAGCCGGATATATTTTAATGTTTACCCTGACGTGGACAAAGGAGACGAATTTAGTTAGAAGAAAAACATGAAAATTTTATAGCGGTGGTGAGAAAATGAGAAATGCTAGCGGCCATCAAGGTGAAAATGAGCCGCAGTGAAGGACAAAAAAAGCGAACAGTAACACATACGACATTTCCTTAATAAAACGTGTAGCTAGGACATTTCACGCTGTTATAGTCGTGCAAAACAACGGCAAAGAATTGTACAAAAATGTGTGATGCACTTGCAAAGTTGCTTTTTTTGCTAATTAGGACTATTTTTGTTTTTGTTTACCGTTGCCGCTGCCTTCGCCGCTTTAGCATTACACGATTTTAAATTTTGTTTAAGTAAACTGTAAATGTATTAACGAGAGCTTCGCTTTAAGTCGTGGCTAAACCTATATATTATCGTGCATAGTAAGAAAAAAAACTTGAAAATAACGCATTTTGTCCGATTTGATGGCAAGAGTAGCGCAAAATTACATTGCAATTTCTACCATTGTTTTGTCATGCACGCGTCCTGCATGATAATGAGGTCTGCAAAATTTCAGAATTGGCTTTAAAACATTCTCATTTTGTCACAAATTTTAACCAATTCGAGATAAAAATGATGTGTCAATTTCCTTGCGCTAAATGCTGCAGTTTGTGAGCATTGCTGGCTGTTTTGAAGCGTTTATTGCGAGATACGTTTTCTGCCTGGTCTTCCATAAAATTCCACACTGCTTCACTCTCGGCGACCAAAAAATTTTGTCACAATACGCAGAGTCATGTAAAATTCCCACCAGCTTATTTAAAGACCTTACACCTACCTCATGTTTTTGTCGTATCTGCTAAATCCAATGTTAAGCTTTTCCAAAAACTGATATAAATACACAGAATATCCGTTTCCCTTGAAGCGGGTCCATCGAACAGCACACGAGCTCCTTTGAGACACGTGTGTTGTAGACAAAACTTAATATATCCAGGGATGGGTAGAGTATGATTGTCCTCTGGGGAAGCTTAGGAAGAGGCCTTGGTATTCTCTTTTGGTAAGAAATAAGTCAAATAAGAGCAGGCGCAATAACTTACAACAAATTGCAAAAATGTTAAGACGCTTGGACGAAAAACCGACCTTGCTATTTCAAATGCTGCTAGTCTCACATCTGTGATATGAACACTCAACCTCCTCTTCCGCTTTATTCAAAGTTGTTCCTCCAGGTTTTAAGCATGGTCTTGCTTTCGCTAGCGACTTTG